CCCTTCTGTAAGGGGATCTCCATTGGCCTACAAATGGGCTTTGGGTCTCCACTCCGCACTCCCCACCTCATTCACCATGGTAAGTTTTTTTTTGTTCGGATGATGCCTTATACCTGATCCCTTCGGCACTTCATGATCGCACAGGCTGGTGTGCTTCTTCCATGTGGGCTTTGTTGCTTCTGAGCCAGATGGCCACTTGTTTCCCTTCAAGCCTTTAAGACCCCAGATGCTATAACAGGGCACCATCAGCTTTCTTCGCCTCATTTGCTTATGCACCCATTTGTCTTCAGTGATCATATTGGGAAGGTGAGCACACAACGGTATGATTTTTTGTTCTATGATGGCTGATACCTGGTCCCTTTGACACCTCGTGATCCCACAGGCTGGTGTGCTTCTCCCAGGTCACTGCCCCTCTTCTTGACCAAGCATGGCGTCTTCCTCCAGAGACTGGTCTTCTCTTGACAATATGCCCAAAGTAAGTGAGACAAACTCTTGCCATCTCTGCTTCTAAGGAGGGCTAGAGTGGTTGAAACATCACCTTCAGAAATATAGAGACCTAGAGGGAGACTGTTGAGAAACAATTGTTTCACAGTTTGATATTTTTGTTTAGTAAAGGTTTCTATGATTTTGTAGCAGTGCATTTTGACTGAGCCTTGTGTGCACAGGTGACTTTGAGGGGGCTTCAAAAAGTTTGTGGAAAATGGAATTAAAAGGTAAAGATTGTTGTTTACATAGTTGCTGAAGCTCCCTCATGTGTATGTATTGCAAAGGATTTATAGAAAAGAGAAAAAGTAATCCTTTTAGCTTTTTTTATGTTTGGGTGAAAGTTTAGAGGCAAATTACTTTCTATTCAACCATTTTTTATACATTTTATTTCATGACATTGGCAACAAAACCCTCAATGTAATAGACTTTTGAAAACATGTTACTCTTGACAGAATTATTCCATGTCTCAGTGCGTTATTTTTCTAGTTTCTTTACTTACTTAGTGTAAATAACCTTTTGTTTTCTGGATTAAAAAAAAAGTGCCCCCTTTTTGTTGCCAACGCTAGCCTCCAGCGTCTAAACATATTAATATTTCAGGAAAAAATCATGGTTTTCTATGACCGCACAGCCCTCACTTCAAACACATTCCAGTTGTGAAGTGTTTGTGATGTGCCCGTGATGGCTGGCCAGTCTACAGGCTGGCCACTCACGCCTGCCTGTCTGCCAAGGATTCAGACAAGGTGGGCCTTGACCTTGAGCACTGTGGAGGCAATGGACTCTCAGAAGTGAAGATGCTCCTGCTCATGTTTCTCTGCAGGAGCAAGAACAGTAAACCTGCTGACCCTGGTTCCCAATCGCGAGAATCTGGGGAGACGACGAGGACAGCAGTTGGAACCTGATCGTACTGCTCTTTCCGTTCCCTTAGAACTCAGGGGTGATTTTTGTTAAGTCTCTGATCCAGCGACTTTGGCTGCCGGCAGTGAGAGGTGGTCTCTCCCTGGCTTACTGACGCTTTCTTTACATCTTCCGAGAGGTCACTCACTGCAGGTGGTGGTGCTACCTTGTTCGTGGTGTGACCGTGGACCTCGTTCAATTCTGGGGGTTCTGTGTGATGACAAGTTAGTGGTGTTTCCTCGTGGTTTTACTACGGTTTTCCCTTTATCCACTTCTGAAAGGTAAGGATTTCGAGAGTGGACACTGTCAGAGTGAGCCCAGCAAAGAAAGGTTATAGGTGGGAAATGTGACTCAAATAGGAATTGCATTTCCCAGATCTGGTCACCCTCCGGGTAGGGTGGCCATGTAAATATTGTGGCCCAGGAACGATGGCGGAAGTAATTGGTTGCTTTTCGTCAAGGTCTTAAGAAAGCAAGTCTCCTTCACCTGCGCTCTCCCTTCCTCCAGCTCAGTATAGAGGACAGCTGGGTTCTAGAGTCTAGAGCATGCTTGAGCTAAAATCTGGAAGGACCCTGGATGCCTGAACCACCATATGGAAGAAAGGTCACCTGCTGATAAAGCTAGTGCATTTTGAGTGATTGTATGAAAACAAGACTTTGTCTTGATTACAGTCACTTTATGATGGGGCTATAGTGCTTTTCTTTGTTACACCAGTTTAACCTAACAAATAGCATACATTTTTGGTAGAATCAAACCTTTCTGTTCTTCTGCATCCACATTTTGCATCTATTATACCACACAGCCCCTGGAACACTGCTCCCACTCAATAATTTCCCATCACTCAATTGAAAATGAAATTGGCAGGGCTTTCAGCCCAGGAGACCATACCCCGCCCCAGTGTCATTGAAGAATTATCCCCCACACTGTTGCTTTTTCTATTTGAACATTTGAAAAGTGCCTGAACATATGCTCTGACCTTGACCTTGGAGAATTTTGCCTACATTCCCACCTTCCACAATAGGGACACTCAAAGAAAGACCCTGTGGCCTTTCTGCTGACTCTGTGGGGAGGGGTTCAGGCTCGGGGAGCTTAGCGTGGGAAGGGTTTGTAGTTTAGGCAGTCTTGCTAACAAAGGCAGCAGAGCTGGACGAGGAAACTGGGGTTACTTGGCGGCACAGCTTGGGATAGTGGTTTACCGAGGTGCAATAATGATACGATTGGTATACTTGTATTGAGACCCTTGCCCTCAGATGGTACAATTGAGCTAACAGAAACTCAAGCCCAATCTTGTTCAATGCTGGTAGCTCTGTGTGATGATAGAGACAGTAGGTTGGCAACTGACACCTGGACTCCATCCTTAAGGGGAACAATGACCAGGGAAAGGACATTTTCCTTTTACAGGCGGACATGTAGCTATTTGCTGCAAATATATTATCCAGGTGTGTACATGCTCTACCCTGCCAGGTTTTGTGTAAGAAGTCAGCCTTAAATCTTATTTAAAACCTATAGGTTAAAACCTATCTTATTGTTAAAACCTGAAAAGCCAAGTATTGGAATGAAGCAATGAAAAAGTATTGAGTATTCAATGCCTAAAATTGAGGAGGCCATGAAAGTATTAAATTCTCCACAGTACAGAGACCATAAAATAAGGTTACAAATGTACTAGCAATATTAAAAAAAATACGAAGTACACCTGTCACGCTTTTCAGACGATGATTGATTCCATACGACGTTGAAAAGAGTACACAGGCAATGATGCTAATGCGTGGGACACTCGCACTATGATAAGCTAGAGATCAATGGACAAAAATGCTTTCTTCACAGTAGTAACAAATGCAATGAAAACAATTACCATTTACAGTATCATTTGAAAACTTTGAAATCTTAGGAGTAAATATAATGAAGATATGCAAGATCTCTATAGGAAAAATATATAAAATTGTCTGTAACATGACCAAGGCTAAAAACAAACCAACCTTCCAAAGAAACCCATTGCCGCTGACTCGGAGTGAGCCTGTGTGTCAGAGTAACGGTGCTTCGCAAGGTTCCCAGTGGCTGTTAGCTTCAGGAAGTAGATCACCTGGTCTTTCTGCTACAGCACCGTTGGGCGAATTTGAACTCCCACCGTTCACTTAGTAGCTGAATGCACATCATTTGTGCCATCCAGGCAACCTTAATTCAGGTTACTCAATATTTTTAAGCGATCAGATCCCTATACTTATTTGTAGTACAGTGTTATCCTGCTCAAAATCTGACACTCATTTGGGAAATGATTTTGGTGAATCAATTTTACTCTCCCCGGAAATGTGGGCATTAGGGACTGGTTGATGTCAGAGGACCCACTGCTGGCTTGGGGACACAACAACGAACAGCAAAATGGGGAACTGCCCTCATGTAGAGGGACCAAATCACCCCACCTTGCCTGAGACTTTCCCAGATTAGCAATGGAAGTGCCCCATCCAGGGTACCCCTGCATCCCAGGTAAATTGGGATGGTGAGACAAGGAAAGTATAGGTTAGTTTAAATCACTGAACTGGTGCTAAAACTTGGACCGGCCAGGCAACCAAGATTCTGGGGCTCTGACACCAGTCATTCTCTCTTTTTAGGGTCCACTGTGAGCTCCAAAGTGGCCTGTCAGAATCCATGTAGCTCTTCAATGCTAAGCTCGCCCCAGAAGCTGGCTGCATGAGCCCATAGAGATTTTCTTTCTCCGCCAGGCTGTGAGATCACCTCAGCGCTGGCACTTGTTAGGTTATTTGCTACTTCGTGTTTGGGGTAGCAATCAGCAAACTGTGGAGGGACAGGCAATAAATGAGGTGCTGTGGATAGCGTGGTAAACTAGATAGAGGCACATTTTAGAGTCTAGTTTTTACGGATGAGGAAACTGGATTAGAGAGCCGTTGGCACATCCCAGAGCTACATAACTGGTAAGCAACAGAGTTTTCAAAAATCAGTGCTTGCTCCCTGTGTTAGACAGGGTTCTCTAGAGAAACAAAAACAGAATGCTAATAATTATATATATATAACTTAAGAAATAAACAGTTAATTAAATTATAAAGCAATACAAATGGCTCAGTGCAACTCACTTCCACGAGACAGTTGTGAGACACTGGCAGTCCTTCACATCTTGAGGGCCGCCAGGTAGTCCTCTGTAGAGCAATTGAGGCTATCCGGCCACAGGCAGCAAACAGCAAGGCAGGTCACCAACAGTCAGCCAGATGACAGGGTCCGACAGTCTCCAGCTCAAGAGATGTAAATTCCAATGATGTGATGAAGCAGGTCTTGAAGGAACCTCAAATTACAGCGACACAGTCCACGGGTTAGGTGTCCCACAGGTAGGGTAGCTTGAGGCACAGAACAAACAAAGCAGCCACACACTGGTTCGATGATCAAAGAGCAAGAGGCAAGAAAGGCGAGGTTCACCGAGCCATTTATCTCTCTGCCCTTCAATTAATCCCACATGTGTTTATCGGCCAGGTTGGCACAATAAACTAACTACCTCACTCCCTCACACTCACTCTCTCAGTCACACTATTTGCATCAAGACAGCAAAGGGTAGACAATTTGGGGGTGGCGGTGAGGGGTCGGTGTGGGTGGGTGGCGCAGAAGGCTTCTCTCTGCAGTTGGAAGTGTAGGAGCTTTGAGCTTTGAGGGGCTTTGGATTGGAAAACAAGCCATTTGGCCTTGGAGGGGGCATCATTGGAAGATGCTTGTTTTTCTCCAGGGCCTTGTTGATGGAAAGACACTGTGAGAGGTTAGTCACAGCTTGGATGGCGCCACCTTCCCTTCTCCCAGCAGTGTCTGATTAATCCAGCGGTCCCCAGCTAGGACTTCCCACTGATTCCGAGCATCAGGAAGTTTGTGCTTGTCCAGCTCCTGAGGTTGTTTTGCTTAGCACTACAACCAGTGCCCCCGGAGGCCAAGGTACCCCATGAGAGTAGGTGCTAGCTCTGGATTTGGGGGCAGCATCTGCAGAGAAGAGAAAATCTGGGGGTTGATAGCCTGAACCCTCCCAGTTTAGAACGGGAGTGTCATGTTAATGAGGCCCCACATGATTGTCTTTGTATTTCTGCTCTGCTGCTTAATGAGGGACACAAGTCCATCTTTAGAATAGAAATAATGACGTTGGGATTGTTGGGAAGGGAAACTCAGATAATTCATGTAGAGACAGAGCATCCTTACTGGACCATAATAATTGCTCAACAGGATTAATTCATAAATGTCATCTACCCTGCCATTCAGCTTAGTCTCAATGATTCAGCATGGCTGCTTGGGCCAGCTTTTCAAGCATAAAAGCACACGAAAGTTACATTGGTAGACCACTGCGGTAGTTACACCATCTGTTGTCAATTTGAGACTTAAGAGTGAAGGGGTGGAGTTTAGCCTGTCAATCAGGTCGCAGTTTGATGACCTCATTTGGAGGCACTAAAGGGATAAATAGCTCTCTGGGGGCAAGCCTAATGGAGCTATGCTGATACAGCCAGAGCTCTGGAGCTGGAGAAGCCATGTGGAGATCCCTGCCAGCACTGAGATGCTTTCACTGCCACTGGGTCCACAAGACTTTCCACCCACTGGCCTGTGATCTTCTTGCACTTGGCGTCATTACATGTGTTGCCTGAATCTGAAGAGGAGTTTATAGACTGGCATTGTACATATGGGCTAATACTGGACTTATGGACTTGATCTGGCCTGGGCTGGAATGTTTTCTCAATATTCAATTGCTCTTGTATATAAAGCTCTTTCTTATACATATACGAGTGTCTATGAATTTGTTTTTCTAGTCTACCCTGATGAACACATTATGGTACCATGACAGGGTACTAGAGAAACAAATCATAAAGATGGAGAGTGGATGCATGTTGGACCTCTGTCTCATGGTCATTTTTCTTCTTTGGCTAGCCAGAGGTCAGATATGTCCATGTGGTTTACTGGTTCTTTTCTGGAAAGAACATGGAAGTTAAAGTTTTGATTCTTTTCATTGGTTGTATCTTTGGCTATTCCTGTGTGAAATGACGAAAATGAATGTGATTAATGTATATTTTGAGCTCAGGGGGCAAAATCGCCCTTGAATTTCTCAGAGCCGCTTAGAGACAATGGCTGATAGAAGGTCAAAATGGCTGACAGAAAGACTGGCTCTGGCTTGATGCTGTCAGAAGTCTAATCCCGTACTTTGTATCAATGGAATAATTCAGATCAGGATTAAGATAAGCTAAATAAGGATTGAACTTGACTGTTTTAAGAATTGAGATTAGTATCTGATTCTGCTTTGTTTATACTGATTTCTTCTGTTTATTGTTGTAGATATAGTGATTGTGTGTGATTGTGTGTGTGTGTGTGCCAACTGAGGCTGCAATAACAGCTCCGAGACACTTTGTCTCTTATTCCTTTCAGATCAGGGGCTCCAACAGATTCCCTTCCAGCCGCACATACCAGCAGTCGAGTACCACACCAGCAGGGACTTACAGGCTGCTCATACCTTTGACACTTGCCCCTAGAAAGACCGAATCCCGGAAGCCGCACATACCAGCAGTCGAGTACCACACCAGCAGGGACTTACAGGCTGCTCATACCTTTGACACTTGCCCCTAGAAAGACCGAATCCCAGGGCACAAAAATTACAGGGCTGAGCTCAGGGGAGCGGACTGATGTTGGTGAGGGAGCTTGGTGGGACAAGCGCTCCTAGAAGTCATGGCCTTGGCTTTGATCTGGAGGACTGGGAGCAATGGTCGCCATCCTGAAGGTGTTCTTCTCACGGTACAAAGTGGAAGCAGCTTGCCATTCTGCCTCTTTTAGGGGTTGAATTATGCCCCCCCCCCCCACTGTAGTAGTTTCTTTATAGTCATTCTTGCCAGCTTTAGGAATGTATTTATTTCTGCTACGCTAATGAGGCAGGAGGTAGGGTATGTCTTGGGTTATCTCACATAGAAAAAAAGAACAGAGAAGGAAGGTCAATAGCTGCCAAGACTCACAGAGGTCTCTTAGGACCCTGGAGGAAAGCTGAAGCAAGAAGGAGCTTCCCCTGGAGAGCCCAGAGAGAGAGAGAAAGAGTTCCCCTAGAAACCAGCACCCCGAATTCGGACATCTAGCCTTCTAAACTGTGAGAAAATATATATTTCTATTGGTCAGAGCCCCCACTTGTGGTATTTCTGTTAAAACAATGCTAGATGCCAGACAGGCATCTGCCCCGAAGAGACCCAGGAAGGAGGAGAAGCGGAATTTCTGTATCCTATTTGGGAATTTCCACCTTTCTCCTCACGAAGCAAGTCGTTCTCAGGATTCAGCTCTTGCTCTAGCTCTCTGATCCCAGTGCCTCCAGTGCGCGGCAGCGTCCTTGCCTTCTCCCAAACGTCCGTGCAGTCATTCTTCTTATACAGCAATAACTCCTGCGAGGGTGACCCTCGGGAAGCAGTCGTGTTAGTGAGAGGCAGCATGATGGTGTAAGACCACGTGCTGGGTCCACGTGGAATCCGCATCTAAACCCCTCTCTCGTTCACCACATACACCAGCCCCTGAACTGGACCTCACCAAGCGCCGGGGAGATTTGCCCTCTGACTCAGAGGGGTAGTGAATGGATGGCTGCAGAGTCTGCCCCTCTGCCCGGGATCAAGTATGCCACGCTTTCCCTGCGCAGGAAGCAAAGGAAGGAAATGGTGGTGGGGGTGGAGTGGGGCTGGAGGGCACCTTCCTGGGCGTTGAGGTCCACACTCCGAGCTGTTGTTGAGCCCTTCTTTGACCTCTTGTCTTTTCAGAGTATGTCTTGGATCCTCCGTCCTGCGAATCGGCACCCAGAAGCTGTGACCTTCCCTGTACACAAAATCTGGACTGTCCAGAAGGATCCCACTGCTGTTCTTCCTTCTGTGGGATAATCTGCTCCCGGAACAAAGAGTCCAGGGAAAGGAACTGGACATTCAAGGCTCCTCGCCTCGGGAGGAGTCCATCCAAAGAGTCTTTGACCAAGCCACTGTGAGGGAATCTCTCCCGTTCCCCTGCCTGTTTCTCTCTCCTTCGTGTTGTTGCCGTTAGCCGGTTCCCAACCTTCTCCTTCTCTTTATCAGGAATGTTCTATTTAGGGAATCCCTCTCCCACTCCATAAAGCGTGTAATCCCTTCTCCTTGGTGCCCGTATCGGTGCGTCTCCGCCTCAGCCACTGTCCCCACACTCTCAGATGTCTCCCTCCTCAGACTCAGCCCGGTCTCTGATTCACCGTTCTCCCGGGCCCAGGTCACCATTAGGCTCTGTAAAAAGAATGACGTGGGCTATGTCTGACCTTCTTCAGGGCAACAAGGGTGGCTGTCTGTCGGGGAGAAGCCGCTGCCTCATCAGCATCAGTTTCCCAAGGCTGATTTCTCTGAGGCAGCAGTCAAAGCCGGCCTCCACCTTCCAACTTCCTTTCTGTCGGCCACTCACCGTCCCCCCAACAGCACTCTCTGTTTCAGCAGGGCTCGAGAGCCCACACGCAATGGTCACACAGAGCCCACACGCAATACTCATGGTTGCAGGGTTTCTTAAGGAAGTGACCAGGTCACAAACGCTCAGGATATAGTATGCCGACAGGACAGCCACCTCTGTGCTGTGCCTACAAGCAAGCTTTCTCCGATCTTTGACCTCTCAGCTACACTACCTATGGTTCTCTGTCCTGTTCATGCAAATTTACAGAGCTTTTTCAGGGCTTCCAATACATACCCACAGGATATGCCACTCCACCATCAACCTCAGCCCAAGGGTGCCTAACACCAGCTCAGTGATTTGGCAAATGCAGCTCCTCTCCCCACAATGCTAGCCTCCTCCCAGAAGGCACTTCCCAGCATTCCTTGCTGGGAAGCCCATTGCTCTGGTTCATGCTCTGGCTCTTGGCTCTGCTGCTGCCACTCCTCCATTAAAGAAGTTCAATGCACTGGAATTTCGGGGTCCACTTCTGGCTCTTCTCTGGTGATAGAGGTGAGATCCCTGTTCAGTCTTCTAATGGGGCTCATTTTATACCCAACAGGATGGCTCTTAGGGAGTGTAGTGGTATAGTGTTGGGCTGGTAACCCCAAGGTCAGCAGTTCAAAACTACCAGCTGCTCTGCAGGATAGAGATGAGGCTTTCTACTCCCCCAAAGAGTTAAAGTCTCAGGATCCCCCAGGAGCATTTTATACTCTTGCCTTGTAGGGTTGCTATGAGTCAGAATCGACTGAACCAAATTGAGAGAACAGTGACTCACAGCAGAATCATATAAGCCCATCAATACCTTCCCCACCTTCTCTTGCCCAGTTATCTACTGCCACGAGTTTATTCTGACCCAGAGAGACACTATCTCAGTGTCTGGGGCTTTGTAAATCCACAGGAGCACACAGCTCACCTCGCTCCTGCAGCCCCGACACTTCCCTAACGGCCAGCGGAGCACCTTCTCTCACCCCAACGCACCAGTGAAAAGTCCTTTGGTGGGAGTTTCAAAGACGATGGAGAACAAGCCACAGGAAGCAATCTACTGCCCTGCAAGCTCCCTCCTTTCACCAGGCACCATTCTTTGGTCCACTGTCCTGGGGCTCCGGAGATCCTGCCCAAGAGAAACATGGTTTGATTGCCTGGGCATTGCCACCGTCTCACAGTCAGCTGACTGGAGAGCTCTCCTGGGGCAGAAAGGGAACATTAAAGTGTTGATGAGACACCCTAGCTTCCCAATCCCATCTGGCAACCAACTCTTTCCGTTGTCCTGAGTAGGATACTGCTCTTCTTGTTATCCCTCTTTGTCTTATAAGTAAAATGGGAATGCCGTCTTTTCCTGTCTTGCAAGAATGTGTAAGGCACAAAGGAGGTCTCAGGAGCCCCAGCAGCAGAAGACAAACCAGGGAAGCCTTCGTCTTGCTCCCCGCTGTGTTGTTTCCCCTGAGCACACACACCATTCATGAGACGCTGCGCAGGGAGGTCAGGGCTGGGCTCCGTGTGACCTTGTTAGCTGTGTGACCTCGATTAGTTCCTTAACACCGGCTTCCTCTTCTGTTGCTCTTAGATGCGACCTAGTGAATTTCAACTCTTAGGGGCCTCATGTGATCAAGTAGAACTGCCTCATAAGGTTTATTCTGCAGCCTCACCATCTCTACCACCACCACCACCACCATCACTACCTCCTCCACCAGCACCACCACCTCCACCACCACCTTCTGCTTCTTGCAAATTGTGATTTGGGTGAAAGTTTGTAGAGCAAATGGATTTTCCACTCAATGATTCGGACAGTTTGTGTTGTGACATTGATCACAACCCCCATGATGTAACACCACTCTGATGTAACACCACTCTGATGTGACACCGCTCTGATG